GTCTGACAGTACTGTACTACAGTCTGACAGTACTCTACTGCAGTCTGACAGTACTCTACTACAGTCTGACAGTACTCTACTACAGTCTGACAGTCCTCTACTACAGTCTGACAGTACTGTACTACAGTCTGACAGTACTCTACTACAGTCTGACAGTACTCTACTACAGTCTGACAGTACTCTACTGCAGTCTGACAGTACTACAGTCTGACAGTACTCTACTACAGTCTGACAGTACTGTACTACAGTCTGACAGTACTGTACTACAGTCTGACAGTACTCTACTGCAGTCTGACAGTACTCTACTACAGTCTGACAGTACTCTACTACAGTCTGACAGTACTCTACTGCAGTCTGACAGTACTACAGTCTGACAGTACTGTACTACAGTCTGACAGTACTCTACTACAGTCTGACAGTACTCTACTGCAGTCTGACAGTATTACAGTCTGACAGTACTCTACTACAGTCTGACAGTACTCTACTACAGTCTGACAGTACTCTACCACAGTCTGACAGTACTCTTCAACAGTTGGACAGTACTCTACTACAGTCTGACAGTACTCTTCAACAGTCGGACAGTACTCTACTACAGTCTGACAGTACTCTACTACAGTCGGACAGTACTCTACTACAGTCTGACTGTACTCTACTACAGTCTGACAGTACTCTACTACAGTCTGACAGTACTCTACTACAGTCGGACAGTAGTCTTCTACAGTCGTACAGTACTTTACTACAGTCGGACAGTACTCTAGTACAGTCTGACAGTACTCTACTACAGTCTGACAGTACTCTACTACAGTCGGACAGTAGTCTTCGACAGTCGTACAGTACTCTACTACAGTCTGACAGTACTCTACTACAGTCTGACAGTACTCTTGAACAGTCGGACAGTACTCTACTACAGTCTGACAGTACTCTACTACAGTCTGACAGTACTCTACTACAGTCTGACAGTACTCTACTGCAGTCTGACAGTATTACAGTCTGACAGTATTCTACTACAGTCTGACAGTACTCTACTACAGTCTGACAGTACTGTACTACTGTCTGACAGTACTGTACTACAGTCTGACAGTACTCTACTGCAGTCTGACAGTACTCTACTACAGTCTGACAGTACTCTACTACAGTCTGACAGTCCTCTACTACAGTCTGACAGTACTGTACTACAGTCTGACAGTACTCTACTACAGTCTGACAGTACTCTACTACAGTCTGACAGTACTCTACTGCAGTCTGACAGTACTACAGTCTGACAGTACTCTACTACAGTCTGACAGTACTGTACTACAGTCTGACAGTACTCTACTACAGTCGGACAGTAGTCTTCTACAGTCGGACAGTACTTTACTACAGTCTGACAGTACTCTACTACAGTCTGACAGTACTCTACCACAGTCTGACAGTACTCTTCAACAGTTGGACAGTACTCTACTACAGTCTGACAGTACTCTTCAACAGTCGGACAGTACTCTACTACAGTCTGACAGTACTCTACTACAGTCTGACTGTACTCTACTACAGTCTGACAGTACTCTACTACAGTCTGACAGTACTCTACTACAGTCTGACAGTACTCTACTACAGTCTGAAAGTACACTACTACAGTCTGACAGTCCTCTACTACAGTCGGACAGTAGTCTTCTACAGTCTGACAGTACTCTACTGCAGTCTGACAGTACTCTACTACAGTCGGACAGTACTTTACTACAGTCTGACAGTACTCTACTACAGTCTGACAGTACTCTACTGCAGTCTGACAGTGCTCTACTACAGTCTGACAGTACTCTTCAACAGTCGGACAGTACTCTACTACAGTCGGACAGTACTCTACTACAGTCTGACTGTACTCTACTACAGTCTGACAGTACTCTACTACAGTCGGACAGTAGTCTTCTACAGTCGGACAGTACTTTACTACAGTCTGACAGTACTCTACTACAGTCTGACAGTACTCTACCACAGTCTGACAGTACTCTTCAACAGTTGGACAGTACTCTACTACAGTCTGACAGTACTCTTCAACAGTCGGACAGTACTCTACTACAGTCTGACAGTACTCTACTACAGTCGGACAGTACTCTACTACAGTCTGACTGTACTCTACTACAGTCTGACAGTACTCTACTACAGTCTGACAGTACTCTACTACAGTCGGACAGTAGTCTTCTACAGTCGTACAGTACTTTACTACAGTCGGACAGTACTCTACTACAGTCTGACAGTACTCTACTACAGTCTGACAGTACTCTACTACAGTCGGACAGTAGTCTTCTACAGTCGTACAGTACTCTACTACAGTCTGACAGTACTCTACTACAGTCTGACAGTACTCTACTGCAGTCTGACAGTATTACAGTCTGACAGTATTCTACTACAGTCTGACAGTACTCTACTACAGTCTGACAGTACTGTACTACTGTCTGACAGTACTGTACTACAGTCTGACAGTACTCTACTGCAGTCTGACAGTACTCTACTACAGTCTGACAGTACTCTACTACAGTCTGACAGTCCTCTACTACAGTCTGACAGTACTACAGTCTGACAGTACTGTACTACAGTCTGACAGTACTCTACTACAGTCTGACAGTACTCTACTGCAGTCTGACAGTATTACAGTCTGACAGTACTCTACTACAGTCTGACAGTACTCTACTACAGTCTGACAGTACTCTACCACAGTCTGACAGTACTCTTCAACAGTTGGACAGTACTCTACTACAGTCTGACAGTACTCTTCAACAGTCGGACAGTACTCTACTACAGTCTGACAGTACTCTACTACAGTCGGACAGTACTCTACTACAGTCTGACTGTACTCTACTACAGTCTGACAGTACTCTACTACAGTCTGACAGTACTCTACTACAGTCTGAAAGTACACTACTACAGTCTGACAGTCCTCTACTACAGTCGGACAGTAGTCTTCTACAGTCTGACAGTACTCTACTGCAGTCTGACAGTAGTCTACTACAGTCTGACAGTACTCTACTACAGTCTGACAGTACTACAGTCTGACAGTAGTAGTAATCTTTAGTAATCTTTATTTATATACCGCCTTTTCACTGCACATCGGAGTCTCAAAGCGGTTTACAATTGTTATTTTTGGGAGTGGGGGTGCCAGAACAGGAGGCACATGCCAGACCTATTGTACATATTTTTAGTGGTAGGGGAAACCGGAGCACCCGGAGGAAACCTACGCAGACACGGGGAGAACATGCAAACTCCACTCAGAAAGGCCCTGGTCCAACCGGGATTTGAACCCAGGACCTTCTTGCTGAGAGGCGAGAGTGCTATCCACTCAGCCACCGTGCCGCCCGTACGGTACAGTATTCTACTACAGTCTGACAGTACTCTACTACAGTCTGACAGTACTGTACTACTGTCTGACAGTACTGTACTACAGTCTGACAGTACTCTACTGCAGTCTGACAGTACTCTACTACAGTCTGACAGTACTCTACTACAGTCTGACAGTACTGTACTACAGTCTGACAGTCCTCTACTACAGTCTGACAGTACTCTACCACAGTCTGACAGTACTCTTCAACAGTTGGACAGTACTCTACTACAGTCTGACAGTACTCTTCAACAGTCGGACAGTACTCTACTACAGTCTGACAGTACTCTTCAACAGTCGGACAGTACTCTACTACAGTCTGACAGTACTCTACTACAGTCGGACAGTACTCTACTACAGTCTGACTGTACTCTACTACAGTCTGACAGTACTCTACTACAGTCTGACAGTACTCTACTACAGTCTGACAGTACTCTACTACAGTCTGAAAGTACACTACTACAGTCTGACAGTCCTCTACTACAGTCGGACAGTAGTCTTCTACAGTCTGACAGTACTCTACTACAGTCTGACAGTCCTCTACTACAGTCGGACAGTAGTCTTCTACAGTCTGACAGTACTCTACTACAGTCTGACAGTACTCTACTACAGTCTGACAGTACTCTACCACAGTCTGACAGTACTCTTCAACAGTTGGACAGTACTCTACTATAGTCTGACAGTACTCTTCAACAGTCGGACAGTACTCTACTACAGTCTGACAGTACTCTACTACAGTCGGACAGTACTCTACTACAGTCTGACTGTACTCTACTACAGTCTGAAAGTACACTACTACAGTCTGACAGTCCTCTACTACAGTCGGACAGTAGTCTTCTACAGTCTGACAGTACTCTACTGCAGTCTGACAGTACTCTACTACAGTCTGACAGTACTCTACTACAGTCTGACAGTACTACAGTCTGACAGTAGTAGTAATCTTTAGTAATCTTTATTTATATACCGCCTTTTCACTGCACATCGGAGTCTCAAAGCGGTTTACAATTGTTATTTTTGGGAGTGGGGGTGCCAGAACAGGAGGCACATGCCAGACCTATTGTACATATTTTTAGTGGTAGGGGAAACCGGAGCACCCGGAGGAAACCTACGCAGACACGGGGAGAACATGCAAACTCCACTCAGAAAGGCCCTGGTCCAACCGGGATTTGAACCCAGGACCTTCTTGCTGAGAGGCGAGAGTGCTATCCACTCAGCCACCGTGCCGCCCGTACGGTACAGTATTCTACTACAGTCTGACAGTACTCTACTACAGTCTGACAGTACTGTACTACTGTCTGACAGTACTGTACTACAGTCTGACAGTACTCTACTGCAGTCTGACAGTACTCTACTACAGTCTGACAGTACTGTACTACAGTCTGACAGTCCTCTACTACAGTCTGACAGTACTGTACTACAGTCTGACAGTACTCTACTACAGTCTGACAGTACTCTACTACAGTCTGACAGTACTGTACTACAGTCTGACAGTACTGTACTGCAGTCTAACATGGGTACATTCCTGAGGTTCTAGATTCTTTCACATCGACTTTCACTTCAACCTGAGGAATGTTGCCACAGATAAATAGATTATTTCTGTAGTTTATGAAACATTGAAGAAGTTTAATATTTCATTGGATTTAAAATGGATTCAGTAGAAGAATGTTACAACTTCCCTCTCTCTCCCCCTCGTCTCTCCCCCTTCCCTCTTCTCCTCCCCCCTCCCTCTCCCCTCCTTCCCTCCCTCTCCCTCCCCCTCCCCCCCCCCCTCCCCCCTCTCCTCCCCCCTCTCCTCCCCCCTCTCCTCCTCTGATGAGATCTCTAGTGTCAGGTGGACAGTCGCCGCGGGGAAACACAAACGTTCTGTTCCTGCAAAAACCTGCAGTGACCACAGTTTTCCCAGAAACCCACAGGCTTTAAAGCTAAGGTCTGTAACTTTAAAGCTAAGATCTGTAACTTTAAAACTAAGATCTGTAACTTTAAAGCTAAGGTCTGTAACTTTAAAGCTAAGGTCTGTAACTTTAAAGCTAAGATCTGTAACTTTAAAACTAAGATCTGTAACTTTAAAGCTAAGGTCTGTAACTTTAAAGCTAAGGTCTGTAACTTTAAAGCTGGGGTAGAACATAAGAACTCTGAGATATACCAATGCCTCTGGTCTCTCTGGTCTCTCTCTGGTCTCTCTCTCTGGTCTCTCTCTGGTCTCTCTCTGGTCTCTCTCTGGTCTCTCTGGTCTCTCTCTGGTCTCTCTCTCTGGTCTCTCTCTGGTCTCTCTCTGGTCTCTCTCTGGTCTTTCTGGTCTCTCTCTGGTCTCTCTGAGGTCTCTCTGGTCTCTCTCTGGTCTCTCTCCGGTCTCATACCCCAGCTTTACATAACAAAAGCACATAGTGTATTTCTCTCATTATAGATTTTCTCATTTCCTCCGTTAGCATGTTTGTCCGTTAGCATGTTTGTCCGTTAGCATTAGCCGCGCGTAGCTTCCACTCATCTCTTTAATGATGGCCTCTGGATCGATGTGTCTCTGGGGACTTCAGACAAACCACAGATAAAAGCAGAGATCACAGCCGTGTGCGGAGGCCGTTAGCATGAAGGCTGTTAGCGTAGCGGCGTTAGCGTAGTTGCCGTTCATTAGCGGCATCAGAACAAAGTGGAAGAGGGTTTATGGAGCCGACGCAGCGCTCAAAGAACAACCTAACTTTGATCTGTTTTACTTTCATACAGATTCTCAGAGACGCAGACGAAGCAGAGACGATTCAGTTCAATGGAAAGAACATGTTTTAAAGCTCCCCCTGGTGGCAGCACAGGGAATTACAGTTACCTTTTCTACTGCTACTACTACCTCGGTACTGGTCTCAGTCCTGGTCCTGGTCTTGGTCTCGGTCCTGGTCCTGGTCCAGTCTTAGTGTGGCATCTGTAGAGAATGTTGGATTATGTTTTAGTTTGAGTCTTTTAATGTGTGTTTTGCATGTTTGTTGTGTTGTGGACGTCAGACTGAGTCCTGGTCCTGGTCTCGGCCCTGGTCTCGGCCCTGGTCTCAGTCCTGGCCCTGATCCTGGTCCTGGTCCAGTCTCTGGGTGGCACCCAGAGAATGATGAATGATAATATATTTAAAGTGTGTTTTGCATATGTTTGTGGACGTCAGCCTGAGTCACTGTGTGTGTGACTCATGAGGACGAGACCCCAGAACCTTCTCCATCTGCTGCAGTCTGAGCCCTGGTGCATTCTGGGAAACGCGGTCCGCCCACGCCTCGTCGAGAGCTCTCCAACGACAGGACAAGTTTCAGGAATAGTCCAGAGTCCGCCCCCAGAGAGATCCAGCAGCAAAACACTGGAGCTCAGAGACCTGTGGATCTGAGCCTGTGTCCGTAGGGCCTGGTCTGGACTGGACTGGACTGGTCCTGGTCTTGGTCTTGGTCTTGGTCTTGGTCTTGGTCTTGGTCTTGGTTGGGTCTGGTCTCGGTTCCCTTATGTCGCTTTTCCACAGTAACAGTACAGTACAGTACGACACTACACGTTACGGCACGGCACAGCCGAGTTCGGGTGCTTTTCCATCAAAAATAGTACCTCTTAGGCCCTGTCCACACGAAGTCAAGCTCAGGCCTAAACGCAAAAATACTTTGTCAATCCAGTGTATCGTCCATACGAGGCCGGCGTTTTGGGGGGGTGTAAACGAACATTTTTGAAACTAGGTCCCAGAGTGGAAAGATTTCAAAACTCCGTATATGCCGCTCCGTGGTTACTGCCTCTCCGCAATGTATCTGAGACGCTTGCGTCATCGCCCCGCCTCTTGTTAAAGCACGCATGCGACGCACTCAGAAAATAATGACAACAACAATGTAGCTTGTTGGTTTTGTAATCCAGTGTGACCCGAAGCAACAGTTCAACCTCATCGTCCGCCCATACTAATGTAGTACCAGCTCGCCCACTCGCCATGTTGTCTGTTTACAAAATTCCGCGCATGCCCAGTTCCCGTCACGGAAGTTTGGGCTTGATCCCGTCATTGCGTCACAGCGCCACCAACAGGTCTGGCATAGTTTCACAGCGTTTTCAGGCGTATTGACTACATTCATATGGACGCACACATTTACTGAGCTAACTCCGTGTTTACAGAAAAAGTTTCTGAAATTATAAGCGTTTTGTCTTCGTGTGGATATAGCCTCAGTATCTCCTCAGTGTTGTCAGACCACGTCATTTACGCTCGACGCATAACTAGTAACATTGGTGCGGTGCATGGAGTTATTATGATATCGGTGATATCGGCTCCCCTTACCCCCTGTAGTACTGACTGTTGCCTCCAGGGGGCTCCCCTTACCCCCTGTAGTACTGACTGTTGCCTCCAGGGGGCTCCTCTTACCCCCTGTAGTACTGACTAATACCTCCAGGGGGCTCCTCATACCCCCTGTAGTACTGACTATTGCCTCCAGGGGGCTCCTCTTACCCCCTGTAGTACTGACTATTGCCTCCAGGGGGCTCCTCTTACCCCCTGTAGTACTGACTATTGCCTCCAGGGGGCTCCTCTTACCCCCTGTAGTACTGACTATTACCTCCAGGGGGCTCCTCTTACCCCCTGTAGTACTGACTATTACCTCCAGGGGGCTCTGCTTACCCCTGTAGTACTGACTATTACCTCCAGGGGGCTCCTCTTACCCCCTGTAGTACTGACTGTTGCCTCCAGGGGGCTCCTAAACCTTTTCAGGACACAGTGACAGACTAACAGCAAGTATGTAATAGAAGATGTTGTTGAAAATGCTTTGGTCTTAAAGGAGCTTCTGAAGTCAATGGTGCTGACTGTGCTCTGCACCATCAGTGAAAACCATGGAGAGACCATGTGACAGAATGGGACACACCTGTAGCAACAGCAGCCTATAGCAGTGGTGCAGAGGAGGAGGGTTATCCGATGGATAATAACTGGATAGAGTATTACTATACTATTACTCAGCACGGTGGCTGAGTGGTTAGCACTCTCGCCTCTCAGCAAGAAGGTCCTGGGTTCGAATCCCGGTCGGACAAGGGCCTTTCTGAGTGGAGTTTGCATGTTCTCCCCGTGTCTGCGTAGGTTTCCTCCGGGTACTCCTGTTTCCCCTACCACTAAAAACATGCACAATAGGTCTGGCATGTGCCTCCTGTACTGGCCCCTCCCGTCTCTGTGCGGAGTCAGAGACTAATGCCCACAATTGTAAACCGCTTTGACTCTGGTCTGAGAAAGGCGCTGTAGAAAAAAGATTACTTTTTTACTTATTTTTTTTTACCCAGAAAAAAGTCCCATAGAACCCAATGTAAATCAAAACATCTCAACCTCACCTGTCAGAGAACCTGACAGAGAACCTGAGAGAGAACCTGTCAGAGAACCTGAGAGAGAACCTACAGAGAACCTGAGAGAGAACCTGTCAGAGAACCTGAGAGAGAACCTGAGAGAGAACCTGTCAGAGAACCTGAGAGAGAACCTACAGAGAACCTGAGAGAGAACCTACAGAGAACCTGACAGAGAACCTGACAGAGAACCTACAGTTTTCATAAAGGTCAGATTTTGTGGGGATTTTAGTGTCCCTTGTCATCCTGAACTTTTTTTCTTCTTAAATCCTTCGGTTTTCTTTAAATCCACACTTTACTGCCACAAACTCCGCCGAGCCCCTCTGTGCACGTGCATGAGATTCACACACGCAAATTTGGTGGAAAGCATCATGGGAGCTCGTCCACTGTGCAGAGGGAGGACCAGACGATGCCCAAATATGGGCGAGTTCCTCTGATATGTCAGCCCCGTGCCGTCACAGCACCACTGAGCACAACCATTCATTTGAATACGGCGCCATCTTGGATCGCCGGGGCTCGGTGGAGTTGGTCTGCCCGTCGAGGTGATCTGGCTCAGCTGTTAATGATGTAATGCAAACCAGCGCTGCGCGTCTCACTGCAGCCGAAGCAAACCAAGATGGCGGACATGTAGTCCGCGAATTACCTTAAAAGTTAAATCACAAAGTTCCGCGTTGTGATATGTGTGTTTTAAGAGTAAGAGTTTCGTGTAAAGTTTGTTTTAAGCAGTCCACTGATCCTGTGAAACTACACTGCTAGTGTGCCCGGAAAAAACTCGATCTAATTAAATATTTAGTTTGAACGCACTATTGTTAATCATATTGAATACAGTATGATTCATGCATAAAATTTAATTTATTATTTCCATTATCAACCCGGCAGACCAGTCACAGGATGCGTCATGGGCCTGACGTCTGCAGCAGTCAACTCAGGGACTGCGATCACACAGCAGCAGTGTAGTTCCACAGCAGCAGTGTAGTTTCACAGCAGCAGTGTAGTTTCACAGCAGCAGTGTAGTTCCACAGCAGCAGTGTAGTTCCACAGCAGCAGTGTAGTTTCACAGCAGCAGTGTAGTTTCACAGCAGCAGTGTAGTTTCACAGCAGCAGTGTAGTTTCACAGCAGCAGTGTAGTTCCACAGGAGCAGTGTAGTTCCACAGCAGCAGTGTAGTTTCACAGCAGCAGTGTAGTTTCACAGCAGCAGTGTAGTTCCACAGCAGCAGTGTAGTTCCACAGCAGCAGTGTAGTTTCACAGCAGCAGTGTAGTTTCACAGCAGCAGTGTAGTTTCACAGCAGCAGTGTAGTTTCACAGCAGCAGTGTAGTTCCACAGGAGCAGTGTAGTTCCACAGCAGCAGTGTAGTTTCACAGCAGCAGTGTAGTTTCACAGCAGCAGTGTAGTTCCACAGCAGCAGTGTAGTTCCACAGCAGCAGTGTAGTTCCACAGGAGCAGTGTAGTTCCACAGGCAGCAGTGTAGTTCCACAGAGCAGCAGTGTAGTTCACAGGAGCAGTGTAGTTTCACAGGAGCAGCAGTGTAGTTCACGCAGCAGTGTAGTTTCCAGCAGCAGCAGCAGTGTA